GATCATATATTTTTCAAAGAGTCGGATCTGCATTAATAGTTTCGTATATTTGAAAATAGTCGGTATCAACAAATACTGGGAGATACGATCATTATTAAGAAAAAAGATTTAAATGTTCACTATAAGATGAGCTATGCAATGTTATCATGTCTCCGTCCTGCAAATGTTATTTATATTTATTTAATATTCTGTTAATATTTGTTCTAATTATGGCTGAGTTGGTTTCATAAACTAGATTTACTTCCCCAGTAGTATCTAACAATACTTTTCGATGAGAATACCAATTATATTTCGATAGAGCAGGATTATCTTAGTAACATTTATTTCTTAGCTTATCGAAACATATTTTAGGATATCTAAATTCTTCCATTTCCAAAAGCTTAAATAACCAATTCAATGAACACTTCATAATATTGAAACCAATATGAGTAGATCCTGTTCCTAAACGTCCTAAAAAGTCTGAGGTTGTTTTTTTTATTTCTTTATTGAGTATTATAACAATCTGTCTCTTGGACATTGGTTATAGTGAGGTAGGATGACATTCACACTATATGTACAAAAAAATAAAATAAATAGAACAAAATAATAATCAAAAGTATATACAATAGATAATAAAATAAAATAACCTAAAAAATGAGAAAATTAAAACTAAGAAAAAAAACACATGATACCTATATACAATCAGGCGAGGGAACTCCAGGAGAACCCTGCGCTACTCTCAACTGCGTCACTGGTACTAAAGCCAGCGGAGATTGGTCGAGAGCACGTGAGGTTGTTTTATATATCGAATATGTCTTTTTATAGAAATTTGTGTTGACCTTTTCTAAGAGCTCTATGTACCGGAGACTCCATACTTGGGCACAATATATCAGAGATGTATTGATGATAGCTTTTTTCAAGTTATCTCTTGCCTTTCAGGAGTTTTATAATACTACAGATAGAAGCAGTTATTTAATTTTAATATTGTTTACACTAAAGGCTATAAAGTAATAGTAATTTTTGACTAGTAAATATAGTATACCATAGGCGAATCTACGGGGGAGGGAGAGGGAAGGCTTTAGGGCTGAAACCAAAATGGTAAAACGTAACCATGTTTTATGGAAACAAATATTACAAAACTATCTCTTTAAGTATTATTGTTAGTTTAATTACATTTAACAGGACTTCAATAAACAGTTAATCACCATTTCATATAGCTTGTCAGTATCTTTCTTTTTTTCCAAAGTAATTATCGTTATATATATATATATATATATATATATATATATATATATATATATATATATATATATATATATATACATATATATATATGAAAAAAAAGCTTTCGGGCTGGAGTCCCCTCAGCAAAATTAAATTCTGGATCCGCTAGTGCAGTATAGTTATGTTTTACGAGGTTCATTGTTATGTATGTGTTATCCAAAAATGGTCTTACTCTTGTTCTTGAATTTTCGCCAGACCAAGACCGCCTAATTGTACAAGACCAAGACAATGACGGGCCCTGCAAGATTTGAGCAAGACTGACCTGCGAGACACTTGCGTCTCGCAGTTAAGTCAAATTGAGACTTGAGCGTTATTGAGTATTTGGTTTCAATAGACTTTTTCTAGTATTGTTTTGAAATCACGATTCTTTCCATCCAACAATAAAGTTTATCGTTATTATATTAAGAACTATTGTATTGATTATTATATTTAGAGGATTAATACGGTGATTTATCATTTTAACCTTGCATTAAATTTTTTATTATTTTATCGTGTACTTAAATATAGTTGTTTACGGCTAGAAATGAAATTTTGTAGGCTTCCTTCAGGCTAAGTAACAAGATACAAGAATAATTAAACATATTCGAGGTAAAATGTGAGGTTTATGAAATGTAGTTTTAAATACGTTCTTTAGTAAAATACGAAATTAAGATTGAATGAATAGACATACAACATAAACAACATATATAGACATAATTTCTATACATATTTTATATCTTACATACCGAATATTATAATATTTTATTTTATTTTTTTAATATTCATTAATGTAATTCCGCTATAGATATTTTTCTCATATCCAATTTCTACTATATTTAATTATTTTCGTATCTTGTTTTTTAAGTCCTGAAGAAAACCTACCATTAGGCTGATTTTTTCTGATAATTGTTTCTAAGATTCCATTTAGGCTTAACCATATAATAACAGTAGTAAAAATATCCTTTATTTGTACCCTCTCAGATATTTACACTGTACATTTTATTTTATATTTACAATAATATTAACATTAAAAAATAGGTTTGATTCAGTCATTAGGTCTTTTCTTACTGGAGTGTATGAGCTATAAGATTGCCTTGCTGAATTTTTTTTTGTTCTGTTCTATTTTGGATTAGTTTTTATCTGTGTTAATGCCTTCTATATTATTAATTTTGTGTACCCACCATTTAATAGATCACACAATCCTCCATTTGTATCGATAAGTGGCCCATTGTACGAGAATACTGTAATGGCCTAAAGAGACCATCTTTTATCTTTTTTTATATGGCAGATGTCCTGCCCACGTCCATTTAAGAAATTTTATGTGTCGGATTTTTTTTTTGCTTAACTCTAGTAATTCTTTAAGATCAACTGCTTGAGATTACAAGTATCTACACAATTCAAAACTAAAATATTATAATCATCTATTCGTAGCTCCTGTCCACCACGTTTCTTCCCTAAATTTTAATTTTAGACCGAATTCGAAAGCAGTTATTTTTTATAATAACAAGAGCACAATCTTGGCCAAAGATTTTTTACGAGTTATCGAGATTTTCGAAATAGCGAAGTAATGACTTATTGATTGCAGAATCAAAAGTAAAGTTCAGATTACCGGGATTATGAGTTTTATTAAAATTCCATGAATGTGCAATATCTTCAATGAAAATACACAGATTTAATGAAAGAAAGAAATTTAAATATGTACGTATGTACTTCGTTATCCTTGACAAAAAAAACAAAAAAAAAAACATCAAAAATACCGTTTCACTTTGCTGCTTGAAGGTAGTCCAGCGATGATCTTTTTATAAAATTGTAGTTATAATAGATGAGGGAATATTTATTCGTTTCGCTACATTATATATTTATTGATTCTCCCTTCGACACTGAAGGAGAAAGCCCTGATGAAGGCCTGAACTTCAGGTCGAAACGTCGGCATATGTAAAAAATAAATATTATAATTTATTTTTGCCTTCCTTTTTGACTGAACATCCCAACTATTCTTCTCTTCATTATCCACGACAGTCAACCAATTACCAATTATGTATATATTTATTCGTTAACGACACCGAAAAGACACTTATGCATACGTTTTCTACATATGGTTGTGTACAAGTATAGTGTACACACACTTTTTTAAATTTTTCTTTTTATATTTACTTTATTTCCAGATCGACTTAGTGAGCCATACTGGTCACTTTAACAATAATAAAATTTTAAATAGTTGGTGAAGTGGGAGCCAGTCTCCGACAAAAGATACCCCTAAAGATACATGACGTCTACAACTATGGACTTCTAAAGTTTGTAATATAAATGAATAATAATTCTATAAATAAAGCTTAAGAAAACATAAAATGAAAAAAGAGAGTTCACATTAGAATGTCTTGCATGTGTCTGAGTTTCAGTCGCCGAGATGCTATCGGAATTCCTATGTTGAAAGCTACTGCGCCTTTAGTTCCGGATAATTGGGAAATATATTTGATAAAGCGTTTAGTTATGAATTTGTCTATTGTTTCTATTTAAAATTCACGATGATGTTGACTATTTCATAAAAATCGAGATCAACTACAATTCTCAATATCTTTTTTGGAATGTTGTTATTTATTTTTGTTTCGTACAGGATACTGCGCATACTCCATTACACAACTGTTAATCATTCGTGGCCGAAGTATCGTCTTCTTGGAAGGGTTGTTTCTGATGTAATTCTACATTTAACCAAATTAAAATAAAGGATATCCAATTCAACAGAAAAAATGGTTCAGAAAACTGGATGTTAAGTTACGAACACTGTTTAGTTGGCTTCGGGTAAGAAAATAATTACAAATTACTGAGACTGCTAAAATGTACTGCATTTTTACGAATAACCTCGATTTTTCAACAGTTTATTTCAAACACTAGTTGTTGACGGGTGTATTGTGACATTTAGTCACCTATATCCTTGTAAAATTAGAACTTGATCTGAATATTTTTTTTTCCGATTTCCGGCTAATCCGTTTGGTTAATCCTAAAAATGTATACAACAACATTTGTTAGGCTCGAAGTTGTATCGAATGACACCTTGTACGGGTAGATCTGAAAAAGTTGAAAAATGAGTGTATTTACCCGTGTTTTAAGTGACAACGCGTCACAGATGTTTGGTTGAATAGTACAACTTTTAAATTTGCCTCGCTGTAGAGTAGGTTGCGATTATAATCGAAGTAACTGTCTAACCGGGATCTCTAGACAAATTACTCAAGAATTCATAACTTTGGTTCTACTCAATATTTTATTTTCATTTAACGCCTATGTTTTAAGCCTAGGAACCTTAAATATAATATCAAAATCTCAAAAGTGTACCATTAGCCATTGCTGAGCTTATCCCCGACAGAATTTCGTTGGACAATGCGGACACACAGACACTGAATTTGGTGTCTGTAATGTATGAATCGGAAAGATATCATGAAACGGATTGATTTTATTCAATGTACAGACAAAATCTTCATTTTATTTATATAGATTAGTGGGATTTTATTGTACGAAATTGTACTATAATACATTGTGAGGTCCTAGCCTAGGAGAGTTCTTTGCTGGCGCTATCTATTCTCGGCGATTGAAACGATGCGAGTTGTGCTGCCCCCCGATAGATAGCTCTTCTCCTGAGTGCGCATACCGCCTGCGCGCGATCGAGGCCGCGTGGCCAGTGCCTCAGCGACGGAGCAAGAATGACCAGTCTTAGAATTAAGTTTAGCTGAGCAGGTGCCCTAGTGCGTGTGTGTGTGTTGTCGATGCGTGTCTGTTTCGACGGCTTTTGTTTCGCCTCCCTCGGTGAGGACGAGGAAGGTAGCGACACCAGGCTTCAGGAAGGAGTAAAGCAACAGATCGTCATAACGCAAGGTCAGCAATAAGTTGTAACCTACCCTTGTGTCTTCACGTGTTGGCTCTTGCTAGTTGTTGTTGTTTATTTAAGGTAAGGTATTGTAGTGTGAGTGTGGTTTGGTTGATTGTGTATGCCCGCCGCTGTTGACAACCCTCAGCAACAAGTCGTCTTGTGATGTCAACAGTCAACAGCTAAATGACAACCAATTTGCCGGCAGTCTGGTCTCAGCTCTGTTATGGCCAGCCGCTTTTGATCTGTAGTAAACTTAAATTCACTAACTTTTATCTCTTCAAAATGTAGATTTTTATTAAATTATATCGCTTTAATAACTTATACCCAGTAGTAATAGTAATAAAATCAATTTATTCCTTATCAATCTCTTTCCTGTCTATTTTCACATTATCAATCATAAAAACTAAAGATTTTTATTCAGTAACTAATATTATATTATTTGAAAGTGATTTACGGCCCAATAAATATTTATATATTAGACCTTATAAGTTTGTTTACTAGTTATAATTACTATAATCTAATTTTTATGTCCTCTTGCATGAACTATTTATTGATTTTTTTTTTAAATTTATTAATATGAGTTTATCAACAGATTTATTTATTTTTTATATTAAGCATTTTCTGTTGTTGATAACGGTTATTTTTCTAGTGATTAGTTGACAATTTGTCCCGTTATGTAGTAAAATAAAATATTATATATTTTTATATTTACATATAGTGAAACAATATTTTAAATTGGTACTACAGACATTCTAAATAATTGGCTTTTGTGTACGAACTAAATCATAAAAACTAAACGATAGCTGTTTTAATACACTGTTGAATAAAAAAAAAAAATATTTATATGTATACATGATAATAAATAATGCTTATAATATTAAGTGAAAATTAGCTTGCAGGTTTTATGTCGGTCGTTTATAAAAATTAATTAAAGAAGAATGAAATATTTTACGTAGCACTATAATTTTTATATATAATTTATTCATTAATTATAATGTGTATATAAATTGTAATTAATATATAATTTTTTAACACCACGTAGGGGAACGATAGAAAAACTAAGTTTAAAGAATTCTTAAAATGTTTTTACTACTTTTTAAATTTTATTTTCACAACTTTAAAATAAAGTATTTAAGGAAAATTTTGTTTCTTATACATCTCTGATATTTATCACATCATATCTAGATATTTATTTTTTAAAGTTATTAAAAAAAAAATCATATTTCTACTAAACCAATCGATATGCCTCATAAAAGGAAAACATTCGCCGACGTCGTGTCTTGGATAAGAAAATATTTTTTTGAATTATCTATAACAATTGCATTAAGTTCTACTGAAGAATACTCATGACTCATGAAAGGTCGAAGTCAAAGGTGTAGGAAAAAAAAAATTGTATTAAGTCAATTGTTTAATGCGTATAATTTAAATGTCAATAATTTAAAATCGAAAGTCTTTCAATGTTTATATATATATATATATTATATTTTCTTGTGGTGTTTAATAATTTCGTAAATTTTTCTATGCACAGGATGTTTCATAGTTTTAAACATTTATTCAGAATATCTCAGCCAAGATGTAACAGTTGTTTGTTATTGGCGTACGAATTTACTAAGTTTATAATGAAGTAATTTCAAATTAAATTAAATGAAAAGTAAATAAATTATATTTGACAGTTCTCTGTAGGTAATTTTTAAATTTCATACAGGTTGAATGGTTGAACAGTTAAACCGGTAACAATAATTGTTTACATACTTTTATGATGATAATTTACCTTAAATGATGTGACGTGGTCGAATTTAATATATATGCAATATCGAGAACGTTTTAGATATTTCACATATTCAAATGTACACAGAACAATGTTTGAATAATTCCTGTGAAATATGCACGTTTTAAACAATATATTAAACGTGTTAATACGACTCATTAAATTCAATAACGTCATACTGGAAAATACGTTATTGTTCATTAATTGGTCATTTAATACAACATGAATATGTATAATATTTTAAAGGAAATTTCAGGTTATGTTAATGGTGTAAATACGGAAAATAAACACGTTTAAACTATTGTCTGGTTTTTAATAAAAATATGACATCACATGAAACAAAAATCGTTATCGTTTTCCTCCATAGAATATAGTATTGATGAATTATAATGAATCTTTAAAAAATAAAAAATATGAAATATAAAATAAAATCTTACCATTTAAATAATATCTTTCCTGTTCATAATAAAACTTGGTTGCAATAAATTAAAATATTTATAATGTTTTCTCGGAGAGTTTTCGAGTTATATGTCAATTTTTACAGTGATATTCCTGTATTAAATATTTATTTCCGTTTTCAAATAAATCAACATGTAAATTTATAAGTCTTCTATCTAAAAGATTTCAAATCTTGGTGAGAATATTCAAAATATTTAAATGATCCATTTATTATTTTAGGTTTAAATTTATTAGGTTATTTCATTTAGGTTACTCAATTTATTAGGTTTAAATGCTCCATTTTAATCTCAAACACGCGGAAATCTAGTCAAACTTATTAGTGGTCCAAAGCCGTCCGAAGAAATCTACCTCTTGGAATTATAATGGAGGAATCAAATGCCTGTTTGCCTTGGTTTTTAAATCTACTTTGCGTACAAATTAGTCGAATATCTTAAAGCATAATTTAAGTCTAGTCTATGGGCTAACATCTTTGAACGATCTGAAAACATGAGAAACATATTAACATTATTTACTTGTAAATAAGTTCTTGTAAAACAAATTAGCATTAGTGTTTGAAATATTTATTTATATATTTTAAATTGGAAATGTGTTACCATACTGTAGGTCATTATAATATTCCCTACGGATATTCCACCGATACACTGATACTCCATGTTTTGATAGAAATTAATGTAAAATAGTTTCATAGATTTGTTCAGAATATACCGAAAATACTTGAAAATAACACCTAATCAAGCATCTATATTTTTATTAATGTTAAATAATAATTAATAATAAAATTCATATACTGATAAATATTACGTTTTCAATGATTTCAATTTTATTTTTAATAAAAAAAATACATATATCTAATTACGGAATAATAGTTTAAGAATAGATCATTCCATATCTTATTTAGTTTAATCTATGTATTTTATAATATTTATTAGTTTTTTCCTTATGTTTAAAACTTTACATAGGCAGGAAACTATGTTAAGTAATTAACTAATTGTATCATGTAAACACTTCTGGAAAAAAAAATGGTTTGTAAAAATTTATTATTATTATTATTATTTTTTAAAAGTTGTACTTTAAAGAGAAAGAATTTTAAATAAAAAGCGAAACTGGTAGGATATTTCTGCTTATTCTGGGACAAACCTTACTAAAGTTACGTGAATTTTACGTTTATTAAACATGAAAGTTTTTTCATAAATGAATTATCTATAGTTTAATTGGATGTTAATAAAAAAAAAAAAAAATCAGGAATACGAAACAGTGTAGTTTCACTATTTAAAAGTAATTATGGAATTCCCGTACCAGACTGAAACGACTAGAAACCCCGACGTTTTCGACTACTGCAGCATTTACTAGACAAACTAGCATTATTGCTCTACTAAACCATCAAATTCCTCTCGTATCCAATCTCTGCAGTCCAAAATCCTTCCTAAAATTCTCTGTACTCCCTACTTTGTTACAAATAAAATCATCCATCAACAACTTACTGTACCGTATGTTTCCGACTTAGCTCAATCCAGATACCTATCCTTCCATAATAAACTTCTGAACCATCCGAACCCTCTTGTTTCTAACCTTGCTTCCTCCTCTATTCCTGATAAAACTCCGAGGCGTCTGAAAAGAAGATGGCCTCGGGACCTTCTAATATAGAAATATAATTGGAGTGCTACCAATGTGTAGTTTCTCTTCATTTTGTACATGTTATGTTACTTGTTTCATATTTACTTGTTGTATTTATCATTTAATACAGTTGTAAATTTCAATATTAAAAAATTTTAAAAGAAGCTATTAAAATAGTTTAAAACTAAAAACGAATTCTGCTTGCATTAGATTAGGTTAAATACTTTATAAATTGAGGAAAGATGGTCTCAAAAATAGAACCCTGATTCGGAAATAAATAATACTTCATTAATGAGGAAGAAGATTTCACCATCAAAGCGATTCGATTTTCATTTAAGATCAAAATAAAAATTTCTTGAATTCATTAACTATGAATCGGAATAGTATTGTAAAACAGTATTAATTTATAAATAGTTTTTTTTATTTTCTCATTTTTTGTTAGTGTTCTTTCTTTATATACCTATGTAAAATGTTGGTTTAAAAAAAATATATATATTTTGATATGCATGACTCGCGTTACTTTTCTTTCTTGATTTTTGAAGTGAAAACTTCTTAAAAACATCGTACTTTATTTTGTAGCCGTACTGAGCCGCCAAATAATACAGGTAAATAATTTTTGCATTTGGATTAAAATGTAACAGACCGTGTCAGAGAAGCCAAAAGGGTAAAAGACAGTACAAAAACCAAATTATAACGATTTATTTTGAAAATTTGGATTAAAATATTTCAAAATCTGGTATTCTCACTTGCGTACTGTTAGCGAAGGAACTTTTCAGCATTTAATCCTCTTTGTAATGAGCTATTATTGAAAATTGTATTTTGAAGTCAGACCGGGCTAGAGTTGGACAGGGAAAAAGTTAGCGCAAAAAACAAAACAAATAAAAACGACGGTTTTGAAAATTTGGATTAAAATATCTCAAAATTAAAATTCCATGGAGATTTAAGAAACCGATTTGCAGAAGGTAGTATATATATTTTTATTTTAAATTCTTCTTTTTTTTTTTTTGCTGGGATGTTTTATGCTATTCTCTGTTTTTGGCAATAATAACTATCAATTAAACAACAATTGATTTATCTGTTGTGTTTACAAGTTTACGTTTCAGAAAATTTACTCCCATCTTTAAAACTACAAGTTACAAGTATAAGTTTACAAGAACTACAAGTAGTTCTGAAGATGGGTGTAAATTTCCCCGAAACATAAACATATAAACTTGTAAATATAGGAAATAAATCAATTGTTGTTTAATTGGAAGTTATTATTGCCAAAAACAGAAGATTTTTATTTTAATTTGCTGTGAAAATAAAAACATTAAGCATTTCTATTTCATTTTACGGTGCACAAGATAGTGTTTTGATAAATGTCTGACACTCGTTAAAGAAGTTTTATTAAAAAAATGTACAAATACT